ACTGCAACCTCTCACCCGTGGCCGCATCTGTATATAGGCGACTGTTCACAGCAAGCGGGAGCTGCTGCCCCAGTGCTCTGCATGACTCTCTCCGTGCCTCGGCGGGCTCTTGGGTGGGAGATGGGGCAATCCCCAGAGCTTGCAGGTGCCAGCACGCTTCTGCGCCTTGGGGAGCAACAGGGTCTCCCTGCACCTGCAGTGCTCAGGGCTGCCTCTGTCACCTCCCGGTCCCCGATGGCAGATGGCTGGCGCAGGCTGACCTCCTTTCTCTTGGAAGGTCTCCCTTTCCCTTCTGTCTTCTCCTCACCGGCATTGCTCCGTTCCCTGAGCTCTGGCTGCGGATGACTGTGCTGGAGCAGGATGGGGAGTTCTGCCTGCAGTGGGCACGTAAATCGTGTCTGTACCCATGGTGTGATGGGGGGGAGCCGTGGCAGGGGACTGCAGGAAGGATGCTCGGGGACCTTCCCCGGGCTGAGGAGTGCCAGGGCCATCTGGCCACTCCACCTCCTGGCTGCCTGCATCATGCTTAGTTTGGCTTACGTTCTTGGATGGCGCTTACAGCCTCCACATTTGTCTTGTGTTTCGTTGAAAGAAAAGCTAAAGGGCTCACGTTTAGCATTTCAGCCCTGTCTGATGCTGGCATCATCCTTCCCCTGGCACCGTGAGCACTAGGGGAGCACCGTGAATTGATTCCCACTCTGGTCTTCTCTGCTTGAAGCACTGTAGGGCGAGAGGCGTAGAGGAGGGAAAGGGGCTGAAGAAGTGTCTCCCTTCAGCATGCCCTGATGTGGGTCAGGCTGAGCCCTGACCCCCTCCCTGCCAGCCCCCGGGGATGAGGATGATGGCAGCATCTGGAGGGGTCTTCTCGCTCCAGGCAAGGGAAGCGAGCCCCAATGGGTTTAACCCGTCTCCAGTGGGTTAAAATTACCCCGTGGAGCCCCCTGCAGAGCTGGGAGGCCCTGCTGCTGGGAGAAAGCAGACCTGCAGCCAGATCCAGTGATGACAAATTCTCTCCTATATTGAGCGTAGTCTTAATTCTTGGCATTGACAGCCAAAGTTATTTTAAACTTGTCTACAGCTGCCTGCTTGCCTTGGAGTCATGTCCGTGAGTGCCCTGTGCACATGGCCTTGTGCTTTTATGAATGCCTAGACCTGTCCCGGGCTCGGCAGAGCAGCTCCTGTATTTAATTGAATGATAAAGAGAGAGCAGAAATGAAGCTCTCCCCCCTCCCCTGGGGCAAATGCCATAACCACGAGGCTGGAAAACCCCTTTTCTTATGTCTCTTCTGGCTCTCTGGGTTGGGCTGTCAGGGCAGACAAGGTCTTTGCCCAAGAAAAAAATTACTTCATGGTAAATCAGGCATGCTGGTGAGAGGTGGGAAAGGGGGACCTCCTTCCCTGGAACTGAGTTGGAGCAGGGTCTCTGCTCCTTCCAAGGGGCCGTTACAACTGCTGGCTATGGGGTAGGGAGCATGTGGCTTTACAGGGCAAGCTTGCCCTGCCTTTGGAGATGAAAGTCTCCGCTGTTCTAAGGTAAAACCCCCTGGAGACACTAGTGAGAGGTCACCCTGGGCCTTTATGCTCTTCTCTAGGGGATAGTGCTGGTTTTAGAGGCCTCACCATGCCGACTGTGTGAGGATCCCCAGGAAGGCACGCTGAGGCAATGTGTGGTTTTTCAGCACCCAAGTTCTGCATTGGTGCCTGGTGAGCTGCCTCTCGCCAGCAGCAGCTTGCAGGATTTCTGCAACACTTTCCTGAGCTGCAAAGGAAAAGAGGGCACCTAAAACTGCTGCTTCAGCATGTGCATCTCCACCCAGGGGTATTTAATCCTAGGGCTGATGCAGATGAGTCTGGTGAGGCAGGAGAAATGTGAAACAGCTGTCAGAGCAGATTTCCCTTATTTACTCCATTTCCCTCCTCTATTCTCCCTCCTTCTTAGTTTGCCCTACATGTGTTATGAATTAGTCCTGCAGAAACAGATGGTTACAGGCAGGAGACAAGTTTGTATTTGATGCTGTAGCCTGTTGCAAATGCTGCACTGTTTTGTTCATTTTTTAATCAACAGATTGTAATTTATGCCTATGCAATAAAAAAAAAGACCAAGACAAATAAATTATATCAAAACTGCTGTGAGTGTTTTGCAGGTGAATTTGCTGGTGGGAATGATGCACAGCTAGTAGATAGAATAAGAAGAGCTACAAGAATAGTTTTGTCTATGTATTCTCATGGCAAATCCTTATTTTTCAGCCTGACATAACTAACTCTAGGGTCAGCAGTTTTCACCTTGTCATGGAGCAGGCTCTGGGATGCAAAAACTGCTTGGAGCAATGATGAAAACAAGACTTACTCTTAAAAACTCACATTCCTTGGGACTTTGATGACTTCTAGTAGGCTCAGTCTGTGACAGACCATGGCTGTGTGTTCAGTCCCTGCCACAGTGACTTCCAAGCCCTCCCTGCGCATCAGTCCATCCTCTGCCTTATCATGGGCAGGAGCAGAGCCTGGCTTGGCCCCAAGGAGTGGCAAATGAGTCCGGGGCAGCAGGGAGGGCAGGACAAAGCCTGACACAAACCACAATTAAGGGTAGCTACAAGTTGCTCTCTTTTCCATAACATAGACTGTAAATTACTCAGCAGGCAGCTAAGAGCAAGTAGAAAGGAAATACTTAATTGTCCTCAGCATGAGGAAGTTAACCTAGAGCATAAAAAAAGGCTGCAAAAAGGGAAATTGGACTGGCTTGAGCTTGAGGAGGGTCACAGAGGTGTCTGCTTAACCAGAGGCAGGCTTGTGTTGAGGAGCACCCATAGAGCTCCTTGCAGAAGGCCACCCTAGGGAAGGGCTTGTTCCCTGCTGGCCCTGCATCTGCCCTCGCCTGTTTTCCCTGTGGGGAGGGATGCGGGGCACACCAGCGTCCCAGCTGGGGGAGGGACACAAAAATGGGACCTGTTTTCCCTGTGGGGAGGGATGCTGGGCACACCAGCATCCCAGCTGGGGGAGGGACACAAAAATGGGGAGGAGGACAGACAGAAAAACTCATATGGACAACAAATGGGAAGGGATGGTGTATTGGATCCTCAGGACCAAGGGCTCAAGCATAGACATGAGCAGAGGGGCAAGCACACCTCCAGCAGCGTCTCCATTCCCGGCAGGTGTCCACAGTGCCTGACATATCCGGAATAGGGGCTGGGTGGGCCTTCGCCCTGGCTACCACCAGCTCCCAGCCCAATGCTTACCTGTTAGGAAAGGGCCGTGCAGGGCAGGAAAAGTCTTCGTGAACCTCTGAGATCAACCGAGGAGGCAGGAAAAGGCCCATTCCAAGCCCTGGAGAGTCCCACTGTATTTACAGAAACAGGTGAGGTGCAGATTGCTGTGAGGGCCTGGGGAAGCACAAGCTTATGCAGGCACTGGAAGTGTTGTGCTAAAACTGCATCCTCTAGTAAAGTGTCTCCAACAGAGTTGAACCCAAATGATTTGCTGTAGCAGCTCTCCACACACACGTATGCATCTCACAGAGCATAGCTCACACCATGCAAGTGTTCTCATTTCACCACTCTGCCGCCGAGAAGCACTAAATCTTAGGCAGAGTAAAAGCTGTTGGGGCTGTGCAGAGGCTCAGCAGCAGCTCTCCTGCGGCATGGCATGCCCCCCCCGCCCCGCCACTACGAACGCAGCCTCTTCTCATAGCCAGCAAAGGAGCACAGTGCCAGGCAAACCCACTTGGTCTGGCTTTCAGCATTAAAGCAGCAACTGCTCGTTTTCCAGAGGGACAAAAAGCAACAAGACATACTTTAACTTGGAACAAACTTTTTTAAAATTTATTTTATAGATCACACCAGCCTGAGTGATCTTTGAATGCTGGTCACAAAAGAGAGATCACACCACCTCCTTTGCACAATCTGAAGTAAACCCTCTTCCAGTCTCGGCAGTCTCCTTCATTTGGAGCACAAGGAATGGAGAAAGAGAAAACTGCCTGGAGCTCCCTGCTCCCCTCGGAAGTAGAGGGCAGTGAAATCAGCTGCAATTTGATACTGCTACATGGCCAGAAGACAAATGAACCAGGCCTTCGTGCCCTGCTTAGCCACACTTCACACCCCCTCACAATGCGGGTGCTATTAGTGTTGTAGCCGCCTATAGTTCCTCCCGCGCCAGGAGAGTGCTGGTATTTAGGCACATAGCTTGGAAAGGACTGTCTGACCTCCCCGCTTCCAC